CACAGGTTCATCCACATCAAATGTTATATATTATTTATTCTTATTTTTGCATTTGCTGTTGGCTTGATCACCTAAAGTGAATACATGATTTGCTTTTTCACTTTTTTTAATTATTCCATTTTAAAATAAAAATCTCATAACAGAAAAAAAAAACCACTTATGTAGCAAAAAGATATGTTCGAAACTGTATAAACGTAACAATAATAAAAGTATTGTCCACGAAATTTAAACAGGAAGACATATAAAAAGGGTTCAATTCTATTAAAAAACAAGAGAAAACAAATAAATCCATCTATTATAAATCCATATTCAGTTACTACTTCAGTTAAATTTCCTGTAATATATTTCTTTTTTGTTTCATAAGACCCATGACACAGGTTCATCCACACGTTACTTGAAATTGTTAATACCATTACCACTGTTAATATTACAATAGTACTGGAAGTTTTCCTGTTATCAATTTATCATCCACATAATCAACACTATCTAAAGGACAAACTGACAAATTATTATGAACAGATAACAACACAGAATAATAGTTTGAGAAAGTATTATAAGCTTAAATATAGTGATAACTTATTTTCTCTTCCATTTCTTAAAAGAACTGTGTGTATGACAATTCCATGATTAACATACAGCATCAATAGAAGTTTCCCATTCACTTAACATTCAGGTAATTTGTATCACAAATATTGTAGTTTTCTTCTTTGAATTTTTCTAGTATTAAACTCTTAATAAAGCAATTTCAGTTGTAATGTTAATTTTTTATGTTTGCATTTGTAAGTTATAAGGCAACATCCACAGAACTAAATACATTCTTTATTGGCAATGTTTTCCACTTCAAGTGAATAGAATATGATTTGAATGTGCAACATGGTGTAGAAACCATCAATACCTGTAGTAATTTCTAATTAATTTTTCAAATTAACTATTTGACTTCAGTATATTCCAATTCTGACAAAAGAAGTTCCATTTGTGAGAAATACACACTTATAATGACAGCAAACAAAACTCTCTACTTCTACACTATTTAATAAAGAGTTGTTTTGCATGCATGGGAGCATAAAAATGCACAAAAAAATCTTTTCTGCTCATTTAATTAAAGAAACTATATATATATATATATATATATATAAAATACCTGGTGCCTACTATTTCATTCCAGCAATAATTAGTAAAAATTCTAGGGGAGGACACTGTATTGAATAATTCAAATGTCTTATACTTATGCTGAAATAATTGAATATTTATTTTTTAATTGTAGAATGTTTTGAAGTAATATAAATGTTTTAATAGGATGGCTCCTGAGGTAATAGCCTGTGATGAAAATCCAGATGCCACTTATGATAATAGGGTATGTAGTTTCTTTTAATTCAACAACTGTTTTAATTTATACACTTTAATAGAAAAAATAATATATAAATAATAATACATTAATAAAGAACATAAATCCATTAACTTTTTTACATCTCTTTTTGTTTATTAGATTAAATTAGTATTTTGTTAAGAGAGTATAGAAAATTATATTAAAATACAACTTCTTTTATAAAATATTTATAAAAGAAGTTAAAGTGAATGCCATATTTTTTATTAAGTATTAATTCAAATCATTTTGATCATTGATTGCTTATTGTAATTTTTTATGAGAAAAATTAAAAGGACAAAAATGAAGTTGATGAATGAAGTTTAGAATTTTGAAATAAATTTTCTGTTTTTAATTTTTCATATTGTCACAAAACATGATGATGGATTTAAATTATGGTAGTACTAAGTTTTTTAAAGTAATAATTGAACTAACAACAATAGCAGTTTTGGATTAATTAATTAATAGATTTATTCAAAAGTTATAATGTTGAACAATTACTTTATCAGATTGTTGAATGAATAATAATAATTTTTGACTACAGGTTAGTTTGTATAAAATATATATAAATTTTTATAATTTAAACATTACGAATAAGAAGAAAGACATTTTATAACAACATACATACTATATCTATGAAAGAAATAAAGTTCTGTAATGTTAAATGTTTTATCATTGTAATGTATTAATTGTTAGTTATCTGATTTAAACATTGAATTTTTTTTATTTCATTCAAAAACAAAAGTAAACATTGAATACCAATGTTGTTATGATATTGAGTGAAATTACCATGGCAAAAAATGTGTAATCACATGTTTATTATTATTATTTTTCATGTAGTAATTTAACTGTATGTTAAATGTATATTTTATCTCATGATCGTTTCTTTTGTAAAAGAACATATGAAAAATGAAGATAATGCTTATCAATATCATTAATATATTGGATGTATCTAAAAGTTTAATTATTGTTAATTCTAAAGTAACAATATGTAATAATTTGGTATGATATTTCAATCTTTCTTCATATTTTTATGATAATTTGATATGTTATTGAAATTTTATTGTAGTCAGCCAATGTACATGAATAAATAAATACAATCAGGTTTTTGTTTGTCTTAATGAAAAAAATATTTAAACTTGATTCTTGCCAGAATCTGTTCATCTATTCATAGAATTCTATATCATTTTAAACATTTCTTAATTGGATTGGAAAAAAGTGAAAGAGAGATTCTGTAGAATAATAATAACAACAACTTTCATAAAAACAAACTTATTGTGTCCATTTGATTATATATTGTGTTCTTTATTTGTGATTCTATAGCTAATTTAGATAGAATATCTTAATTTAAAAAAAAATTTTTTGCACAAAATAAAAGATTACATGTAGTATTAAAATAGTTAAAAGGAGTAATAAAATAGAATTTTAAAAATAATTGCTTTAATTAGATTTGGTTCTTTTTTCAATGGAAGCTTTTTCTTGTTCTAAGTGGCATTACCATTTTGAAATGATTACATTTTGAATACTAAATTTTTGTCCAGTATTATTAAAACTAGATTATCTCGTCATTAACTAATTGAACAGCAATGTTACCATATAGAAACTTGTAATTTTTCACATTGTTCATAGGAAAACTATAAATTTATGATTTTAGTATGAATAAAACACACCTTTAAATCCAGCTAATAAAAATTAATAAAGTAAAAATGTTTTCGATCGTTTCTTAAGGATCATCTTTAGTTACCATAACATAGAATAAATCAAACACAAAAATGAACGTAAATATGAAATTAAAATATAAATAATGGAAAAGTAGCTGTGCTGATAAAATAAACAAAAAATATAAATTAAGCCAAAAAAAGTCCCTTAACAAAAATTAAAATAAATAAAGTCATTAATTCTTGTAAAAGGATCGCCATGCGGTAGGTAAAGAGTCATCATCATCAAATTAAACTTTATTTATAATAGGCCTATGCCTGTTACAAAAAGGTGGAATTATATGATATTTTATAATTACAATACAACATCACTTAAACAATACAACCACAATCAATACAATCTCATAATTAATTGATAATATCAAAATGAATTACAGAATTAATATATTAAACCAATTAACAGTAAAATATTTTTGAGCATAGTTATAAAGGTTATATATAGTAGTCTTTTTAGCTTTATGAAAGAACAAATACATAAAATCCTCGCTATTCTTTAAAAATAAAGTCCCAAGATTATATCGTTTACATAATCCTTGAGCTTCATTATGAGAACAGGTACAAAACAGATGAAACTTAGACATAACAACATTACAACTTATACAAAATAGTTTTGAGAATTGATAGATACTTTTATTAATCAGAATAATTTCTCTATTTAATCTTAATTGAATAAAGAACTTTTTGACATTAAAGGATAAATCAGAACCAGTATAATTATTGATGTTTGGATAATCAAGAATGATATTGTAACAGAGTTATTATGAATCTTAACATCATGTATATCTTGAGATAAAGATATTTCAAAAGTATTCTTAATCAGTTGTACAGTACATTATATATCTCATTTGATTCTGTATTATATATGAATGGAGCTATTGAGAAACCAAACATATTAAATAAAGTAGACAACTGATAGATCCAATTTAGTTTTGACTTATAACTAAGCGATTTTTTATACAGTAAATTCATCAGTAGAGATGGAAGCGATCCATTGTCTCTCAATTGGCTCAAAAACTTAATATATCTCCTCATAAAAAAAAGGCCCAATTTGAATCTATTCAATTCAAGACGTAATACCGCTCCAGAGACATTAAAGGCTAGCGAAAAGACTCTATGTATAAATTTATTTTGAATAATCTCCAATTTTTTAAAAAACCAAGGGCTCCAAATAGGTGCAGCGTATCCACATGTAGGTAAAGAGTCTGCATCCCTATGGTTAATGCAAGAAATTTTTCTATGTGCCTTAAAGATCTCTAATTTTTCCAGCTATTTCATTGTATGTAAATTTGTCGTAGGTTTAATTATTTTCGCTTGATCCCAATGGACTTGAATGTCGTGTTGTGTTGCGTAAACCGTTAGCATGGTGTTATCAAGTTTCTTATTAATCATATATTTATGCTCTTTCATACGTTGCTGCAAGTTGCGCAATGTTGTGCTCACGTAGACAAGATCTGAATTAAAACGCTGATCGTGTAATGGTGTAGAATAGATCCCTGATGCTGATTTCCAGTCATAACGCTTCGTATCATTTCTTAATAGCTTGAAAACTGTAGGATTGCGTCAATATATCACTCAGAAATCATTAGCCTTGGCCGTTTCTTTATGTATTTGTCTCAAAAACGGGACATAATTTAAAACCATCCTTTGTCTATGGTCTACTGTAGGATGCCATTGTTTAGTTGTTTGGAAGGTTGTAATAAGTTTCCTTATGATTTCCTTTTGGTATTCCTGTTCTTCTGCAATCCTTAGAATATAGTTTAGCTCCGCCATCGTGTCTTTCATACTAGTACAATGTGTATAAGCCCTTTTTATCCAGGACCTAAAGGCCGCCAATTTGATGTGATGCGGATCGATTGAATTATGCGGAATTAAAGTGGGTTGAAACCATGATTTTCTGTATATGCTGGTCCTGATTTCTCCCTGTTTGCAAGCGATGGAAATGTCCAAAAAATTTACAGTACTATCACTCTCCTAGTCCACTTGTAGTATCAAACCATAAGGGTTATTATTGATCATATCCAAAAATTACTGTAGGTTAGGTTTTCGTTTCCACAAGATGAATATATCGTCGACGTATCTGGTGTACAAAATGATAAGGTGTTGAAACTTGGGTAGAATTTTGTTCTCGAGTTGCTGTAAGACCAACTCACAAAGAATCGCCGATGTGGGACTACCCATTGGAACACATCTTCCTTGCAAATATAACTTGTTCTCAAACTCAAAAAACGATGTATAACACACTAGGTGCTCAAGTTCCAGTATATTAGCTGGATTATTAAAGGTGTGTTTTATTAGTAGTATATTTATCCAGTTGGATCGTTATATAAGTATTATGATTTTAGAAATAAAGAATTGCTAAAAATGAAAAGTAAAGATGTATCAGAATAATTTGAAATGTTTACTGGGGGGGGGAAATATTTGTCAATTCTAACTTAAATCTGTTTAAAGAATTTCTGATATATCTTACATTTAAAACTTTTATTTTGCTGTATTTAGCTTGCTAGACAATGCCTTGATGAATCATTTATTCTTAATTATGGATTGCAATTAGAACAAAAAAGTTTTTGGGCCATTAGAATGTTTATATATATATATAGTCCCAAGATTATATCGTTTACATAATCCTTGAGCTTCATTATGAGAACAGGTACAAAACAGATGAAACTTAGACATAACAACATTACAACTTATACAAAATAGTTTTGAGAATTGATAGATACTTTTATTAATCAGAATAATTTCTCTATTTAATCTTAATTGAATAAAGAACTTTTTGACATTAAAGGATAAATCAGAACCAGTATAATTATTGATGTTTGGATAATCAAGAATGATATTGTAACAGAGTTATTATGAATCTTAACATCATGTATATCTTGAGATAAAGATATTTCAAAAGTATTCTTAATCAGTTGTACAGTACATTATATATCTCATTTGATTCTNAATAATTAATTATATATATATAATTTAGTTTAAATTAAGAAAACTTTACTTGCAAGACTCAATGGTACTAGTATTTTATATTTTTTAAGAAAGAAGTATTCTAATAAAACATAGTTTCAGTATCAAAAATTACATCTCTAAATTAAAAAGTTAATATTTAAGAACAGAATTTATAATACATAATTAAAAGCAATTTCTTATTAGATGATAAATGTTCAACTTAATTCAGTTTAAAAGAAGAAAACATCATGAAAATTATCAGACAGTTATGAGCTGAAATGTAATCAGCCAAATACTACATGGTCAATAATTTACAGTAATTCATTA